GGTTGATAGGTGCAGCAAACCACCATGGCACATGTATACCTATGTAACAAAGCTGCACCTTCTGCACATGTATCCCAGAACTTAAAGTAAAAAAAAAAAAAAAAAAAAGAATATGACAACAAATTGTATGTGGCCTGAAAAACCTTAAATATCTGACAGAAAAAAATTCTGCTTCTATTATGCATTTATAGTGTATATCTTACATATAGCATATTGTTGGGCATTAATTTTTAAAATGCATTATGATAATCTCTTTTAGTTTTGAGTTTTTAGTCCATTAACATTTGATGGGCCAGGTGTGATGGCTTATGCCTGTAGTCCTAGCACTTTGGGTGGCTGAGGTGGGAGGATCACTTGAGCCTAGGAGTTGGAAACCAGCTTAGGCAACATAGGGAGACCCTGTTTCTACAAAAACTAAATTAAAAATTTTAAAACATTTGATATCATTATTGATAAGGCTAGAGTTATGTCTACGATTTTATTATTTGATTTTTGTTTTTACCTCTGTTTTTATTTCTCTGTTCCTTTTTCCCGTCTTCATTATTTATGAATTTTTAGAATTCCATTTTAAGTCCTTGATTGCTTTTTATCTATATTGCTTTAAATTATTTTTAGTGGTTGCTCTAGGGATTATAATCTAACTCTCTAAATTTTTACAAACTACCTAGAATTAATACTGTACCACTTGATATAAAATGTAGAAACCATGTAACAGAGTAAGTCCGTTTACTACCCATTGTCTTTTATGCCATCTTCATGTGTATTATATTTACATGCATTATAAATACCACATGACAATATTATAATACTTGCTTTAAATAGTTATATATATTTTAAAGAAATTAAGAAGGGGAAAAGTCTTTTGCATTTTCCAAATATCTACCACTTCTGGTTTTATTCATTCCTTCCTGAGGATCTGAGTTTCCATCTAGCATTTCCCTTCAGCCTGAAGAATTTCCTATAGCATGTTTTTGTGGTGCAGATCTGTTGGTGACAGATTCTCTTAGTTCTATGTTACCTGAAATTTTTGCTTTCATACTTGAAGGATATTTTTGCTGGTTACAGAATTCTGTGTTGGTAAATTTTTTTTCTTTTAATGCTTTAAAAATACTGTTCCACTATATTTTGGCCCCACACAGTTTCTGATTAAAAGTTAGCTGTAGCGCTGGGTGCGGTGGTGCATGCCTGTAATCCCAGCACTCTGGGATGCCAAGGCAGGTGGATCACCTGAGGTCAGAAGTTCAAGACCAGCCTGACCAACATGGTGAAACCCTTCCTCTACTAACTACAAAAAATTAGCCGGGTATGGTGGTGCATGCCTGTAATCCCAGCTATTTGGGAGGCTGAGGCAGGAGAATCGCTTGAACCCAGGAGGCAGAGGTTGCAATGAGCCGAGATCCACCATTGCACTCCAGCCTGGGCAACAAGAGCAAAACTCTGTCTAAAAAATAAATAAATAAATAAAAGTTAGCTGTAATTCACGTTTTTGTTATACTCTATGTGTTATGTTTTGCTGCCTTTGAGATTTTTCTCTTTAATTCTGGTTTTGAGCAGTTTAACTCTGAATTATGTAGGTATGGTTTTCTTTGTATTTATTTTAGTTGGGTTTGGCTGAGCTTCTTGAAGCTTTAAATTGACATCTTTCACTAAATTCAGGGAAATTTTGGCCTTGGTCTCCTCAGATATTTGTTCTGCCTCATTCTCTTTCATCTTCCCTCTCCGAAGACTTCAATTATATGTATGCCAGTTGTTTTGATATTGCCTCATAGATCTCTGTGGCTCTGTTTATTTAAAAAAATTATCTCTGTACTTCTGACTGGATCATTTCTATTGCTGTATCTTCAAGTTCACTTTCTCTTTACCCTGTCATCTCTGCTCTGTTATTCAGTTATTTTTTCAGTCCACTTATTTTTTTCCTCTGATATTTTTTAGTTCTAGGATTTTCATCTTCTTTTCCTTCTTATGACGCATAATTTATTGTTGATATTTCCAACCCTTTCATAAATTGGAGCATATTTCCTTTAACTCACTGAGCACAAATAGGAAAACTAAAATAATTGTCTGCTAATTCCAACATCATCTTGGGATTGGTCTCTGTTAATTATCTTTTCCTTTGAGAATAGGTAACATTTTCCTAATTCTTTCTATGTTGAGTAATTTTGGATTATGTTCTGGCTATTATGAATGTTATTTTGTAGAGATTCTTATATTATTATATTCTTCCAAAGAGTGTTGATGTTTCTCTTTTTCTTTTTCTTTTCTTTTTCTTTTTTTCCTTTTTTGAGATTGAGTTTCACTCTGTTGCCCAGGCTGGGGTGCAGTGGTGTGATCTCGGCTCACTGCCACTTCCGCCTCACAGGCTCAAGTGATTTTTTGGCCTCAGCTTCCTGAGTAGCTGGGACTACAGGCATGCACCACCATGCCTGGCTTTTTTTTTTTTTTAGACAGAGTCTCGCTGTGTTGCTCAGGCTGGAGTGCAGTGGCACAATCTTGGCTCACTGCAACCTCCGCCTCCCAGGTTCAAGCAATTCTCCTGCCTCAGCTTCCCAAGTAGTCACCAGCTAATTTTTGCATTTTTAGTAGAGACAGGGTTTCACCATGTTGGCCAGGATGGTCTCAGTCTCTTGACCTTGTGATCCACCCGCCTCAGCCTCCCAAAGTGCTGGGATTACAGGCTTGAGCCACCACGCCTGGCCTCGTGGCTAATTTTTGTATTTTTAGTAGAGATGGGGTTTCACCATGTTGGTCAGACTGGTCTCGAACTCCTGACCTCAAGTGATCTGCCTACCTTGGCCTCCCAAAGTGCTGGGATTACAGTCGTGAGCCATTGTGCCCGCCCGTGATTTTTTTATTCAAGCAAGCAATTAACTTAGTTGATCTCAAACTGCAAACTATTTGAAAGTTCAAATATCACTTTGGTTGTGTTATGATGTGAATGCATGTGTCCTTCCAAAAATCATGTGCTGGAACTTAAACCCCAAGGTGATGGCCTTAGGAGGAGGGGCCTTTTGGGAAATGATTAATTTATGAGGGTTCTGCCCTCATGAATGGATTGATGTCCTTACAAAAGAGGCTTTAGAGAATGTTCGCCCTTTTTTGCCCTTCTGCTGGGTGAGGACACAGCATGGAGGGCACCCTCATGGGAGCAGACACTGATCCCTCCCTTACCGGACACCGAAACTGCTAGTGCCTCATCTTAGACTTCCACCCTCCAGAACTGTGAGGAATCAATTTCTGTTCTGTATAAATGACCCAGTCTGAGGTATTTTATTATAGCAGCACAAACAAAGTAAGACAGGCTGTTTTATCCTAAATTGGGCTGTTTGTAGTTTGCCTTATGTACACGTATCTTAGGGGTCATCCAGAGGTTTAGACAGAGTCTATGCACAGAATTTGGGATTCTCCCTCTCCTGTGGTAGCAGTGGGGCTGTGCTACTCAGATACCCTGCCCCAGGGAACCAGAAGGACCAGCTGCAGAGAACATAATTGACTGAGGATCTCAGCTGCCACACGTTTGGATCCACTGTGGGGTTCATGCCAAACCATAACTGTCATTTCTGCCAGATGTAAGATTTCTGTAATGGTGACTTTGAGGACTCTTCATTAGCTGGCATGAGACTTTCAGAGGTGCTCTGCCGTCTGAAGCCTTTCCAACCCAATCCTCCTGTCTCTCTTTTGCTCATGTCAGACCTGCTTCACCACCCCTGCCTACTCCTATTCATTTCTCCTCTCTCCTTGACCACACAGCCTTGTTCTAAAAGCTGGTATGTTCATTCTCACAGTGGCATGGAGCTGAATGCCTCGACCATGGCTATACGTTTATGTCACCTGTCCCGAAGATCATTCATAAGTGTGGTGGGCAATTCTCCAAGGGATGGCAGGGAGGCTGTGGCATTAAGGGGCTGGACCTCAGTCTCTAGTACCCACTCCAATAGTCAGGTCTCCTCAGAAGGCCTTGTGGCTTCAGGAATGCAGGCATACCTCCCCTCATGCCATGCTGGCCCTGTAGAAGCCTTTACCCAGACACTGAGCTGCTGGCCTGCCACACTGGAAGCACCTTCCAGAGACATGGGAGACCCTGACGACATGATTCTGAAGCCAGGGGCTGGAGGGCTGGGAGTTGGGCATGTGAGCACAGGGGGAGAATGGGTCACCATGCCCAGGCTCAGAGCTGGCTCTGCTATTTGGGCCTGGGGAAAGAGAATGCATTTTTATTTATTTACTTTATTTATTATTTGAGACAGAGTCTCACTCTATTGCCCAGGCTGGAGTGCAGTGATGCGACATCCACTCACTGCAACCTCTGTCTCCCAGGTTCAAGCAATTTTCCTGCCTCAGCCTCCCGAGTAGCTGGGATTACAGGTATCTGCTACTATGCCCGGCTAATTTTTGTATTTTCAGTAGAGATGGGGTTTCACCATGTTGGCCAGGCTGGTCTCGAATTCTGACCCCAAATGATCCACCCACCTTGGCCTCCCAAAGTGCTGGGATTACAGGCATGAGCCACCGTGCCCTGCCCATTTTTATTTTTTATGTCATGTTAAGAACCCTGCCTCAGGAAAAAATAAACCCCCAGCTCCCAAGACAATCCCTAATATCCATTAGCGAGGTGCCATGCCAGGAGGAATAGAAGGGAACAGCTGAGTGCTGGTGCCTTATGCCAGCCCTGGGGCATAGACATAAATAAAGTGGGTTTTCTGTCCTTCCAGGGGCTCCTATCCCAAGGGAGAGACCACAGAGAGGGCAACAACAGAGGTTCTGACAAATCCGGGGAAGAGACAGGAACCAAGGATGCCTTCCCAGAGGTGCTGGCATTTGGGATGTGTTCCAAAGAGAGCAGATACTGCTTGGGGGAAAAAGCACCTTCTATCCAGACTTGGGTGGGGAGGCTTTTGCCTTGATAAAATCACGGTGACTATGGCTTTTTTTTTTCTCTTGGTGTAGGAGATGGCAATGAGCTGTTTGGGGTGACTGGAACATAGCACGTGGAACAAGACCTGTTTTAAATGAACCGCTTTATTTTTATGGCAACCAATTCTTAATTCATTCAATAATAATTGAATTGGGTACCCACTATGTGCAAGGAATTGGACTAAGCACAAATAGAACAGAAAATAATCATCCAATGTCTCCAACAAGAACAGATATCTATCAGTGGTCGTGATGTGTTATTGCTGCTTGGTGTGGAAATGCTGAGCTGGGTGTGGACAGGACACTGTGCAGTCCTGCTCTGCGTAGAATGGGTTCCTATGGTGTTTACACTTTGCTCAATCTATGGGGTTCCCTGAAGATCAAAGAATAAACAGAAAGGTACTAGCCTCGGAAGAAGAGACGTGACTGCCAAGAGGCCTGGCCAGACAGCCTGCCAGGCAGGCTGGAGTCCGGCTGGCTGGGGCAGCTGGCCTTCCCATAGTGAGACTGGCAGTGTGCTCAGATGGCCACACTGTTTGGAATCCGATCTGGAGACAAGTAGTAATATGGCAGCTGCTTCTTCTTGTTGCGCTCAGCAATCACGCTGACAATGGCCTCGAGGTTCTTGCGGAATCGGGCTATAGCCGCCTTCACAGGCTTCTCGATAAAATGCTCTTCTGGGTACATGCCCAGGAACAGCTGAGGGCCCAGACATGGATACACACATAGGTCAATCTGCTACCCGTGTAAACTGACAGGCCTGTCTCATCCCAAGGGACCAGCCACCCTTCGGGAGATGAAGGAGGGAGCATCTATTCGCCTGCCCATATTCACCCTCTGCTGCCTGACGAGAGGGCCTTGGGAAGGCAAGTGTGGTCGCCTCCTATCTGCTTCCCTAAGGAAGGCTCCAGAGCTGGGCTTCATGGATAAGTGGGAAAATAACTGCCTGCTGCCAGGTGGTTACAAGATGATGCAGATGAAGCTGGAGGGTGCTGGTGGTTGCAGCCATGGTATCCTGCTCTCTCGGGCCACCCCTACGCAGCACTCCCACCTCCCATCAGGGGCGCTGGGGCCAGTGCTGGCCTCTCCAGCCCAGGAAGGCAGAAGGCAGGCCAGGGAGCCTGAAGGGGTGGCTGCCCTGTTGGGGTGCTGTGCTTATTTGCATGCTCACACAGATGTCTGCGGGGTAGAGCTAGACATCATTTTAAAAAACTACTGTATTGGATTAAGATCACAAAGCTTCTGAGCTGGAAAGGTCCAAGAAACATAGGCTACTGATAATGGGATTTGGATTTAGTCTGTGGAGGGCAATTCAGTCTCAATATTCTTTGACCAAGGAATTTGTCTGCTAGGAATGTGTCCGGTCATACTGAACACGTGTGCAAAGGCACAAAAACAAGGATGTCCAGTGAGGGACCAACACATTAGCCGGGAACAACTCAGAGGCCCAGCAGTCTAGAGCAGGTTGGACCCGAGCGGCCATTCTGTGCAGTACTGAGCTACCCCAAAGCGAGTGCATCCACCAAGACACACCAGATTCGGTTGTTAGATTAAATGAGATGCACATGTCCTGAAGGAACCCAGGAAACTCTTGGTCATTCCTTCTGGAGTACCAGGGAAAAACACATGTGCAAGAGCTTTGTCAATAGCTGGGGGGAGGGGGTGTCACACACCACCCTCTGGTGACAGTGAGCAGAGCCTGGGCTGTGTGCTCTCCTGCCGTGCCCACCCTGAGCTCTGTCCACGCTCAGGCCGGGAGACCTGGTGGCAGCTGCAGCCCTCTGGGCCCTTCCAGCCTTGGAAGTCAGGATTTCTGGCTCCAAGTGAGCCCTGAGGCCCGAGTCACAAAGCACTGAGGCTGAGGAACCGGTTAACCTGGGGTGACCTGGGTCTGTGCCCCACCCTGCCCAGCCTCACCTCGTTTTCCTGGAACTGGCTCAGCGCCCACACTGCACCCAGATGCCAACAGGAGCGACCGCGGTCCGGCAGCGTGTCCACGATCTGCTCAATGGTCACCACGCCCTTGGCAGTTGGCGGCGGGGCTCGCATGGTTGGGGGAGCATTGGGGATCCAGGAGCACCAGTCGTACTGAGGAGACGACCGCCAGCGAGCGTGGGCACCCCCGAAACCCTGCTGCCCAGCTGCCCCCTGGGCCCCGTCCTCCCCGTGCCCCCCAACTCCAGCGGGCCCTTCAGCCCATCCATCCTTTTCCCCCGCGGCCAGCGCCCTCGGCTGCACGGGCAGAATCCATCCTGCAAGTCCCAAGCCAGACCCCGAGGCTGCTCGAGGGTGCGGTACCGTGCAAAGCTGGGGCGGGGGAGGAGGCAGCGGCCCTGGGGAATGAGCTCTGCCCAGCGGGCGGGCCCCGCCTACCTGGCCGAAGTTGACCGCGGCGTGCTGGGCGGAGGCAGTGAAGATCACCACGGTCAGGTACTCCGACAGCTGCTCCCGGCTCCTGACCGACTTGGGGAAGCCTAGGGCGGAACCACCGGCGGGTTGAGGCCCAGTCCCTGGGGACCCCGGGGCCCGGCGCCCACCCCGTGCCCGGTCTCCCTGCCCCGACGCCGGAGGGCCCGCTGGGCAGGACACCCTGGAGGGGCGGCGGCTGCGCCCGCGCTGCCGACTGCGGGGGAGCCGGGTCCGGAGACGTCCCTGAGGCCCTACCGGAGGACTTGCGGCCCCGCATGCCGTACACGTAGACGTCGTTCACGAAGTCCTGCAGCTCCGGGTCCTCCTCCACCACCTGGTCGCTCTCGTAGTAGATGCCCACCACCTCGGCCGTGAACCTGGCTCAAGGGACGCAGCCGGGGGTGAGCGATCCAGCCAGGTCTGCGGAGCGGTGCCCGGCGGCAACCCCCTCACGGACGCTGGGCACCCTCCACCCCTTCCCCTTTCAGCGCCAGCAGCCGGGGGCCAGGCCCGCCCCAGGCAGTCAGGCAGGGGGCCCGGCTCCTCCCCCAGGACCACCGCCCAGCAGGCGCTCACATCCTAATGGCTTCCCACACCAGGAGCCCGTCGTCTCGGTAGAAGTAGTAGGGGATGTCCTCTTTACTCTCCATGCCCCGGGCCTTGATGGCCTCGGGAAAGCACAGGGAGGCGTAGGTCAGGTCCTTCATGGCCCTCTGCACCATCTGCACGTGCCCACCGCCCCCTGTGGCGTTGGCCTGGAGTGGGAGGTAGAGTGCCCTGAGCGGGTGGCTCCTCCCACAGCTGTCCAGACCCATCCCTGAGGAAATGTGCCAGGGAGACGAGGAGGCCAGGCAGGCAGAGGGGCAAACTCTTCTTCTGTGAGATGGGAGAGGGATGTTTCATGCAGAGAATGACAAGGGCAGCGGGTGGAGAGGTGACAGGGAGGAGCCTCCCGCCCAATCCAATGCAAGGGACTGAACCGTGGGGCTGCAGAGTGCAGGAGGGAAGGGTGCGCTCCCAGCCACAGGAGGGCAGCAGGCGTGGGCAGGTGTGTGGGGGACCCCAGCACCAGCAGGCCTGGGCTGTGAAGTCTGCTCTAGTGCTGAGTACAGGACCCTCAGTCATTTGCTCTCAGTGACCCTCAGTTTCCAGGCCCCATGCAACTCTGTTGAGGGCCTGTTGTGTGCTCAGGTGAGGGCTGGAGAGACCCACAAGGAGGGATCCTGGTCCTGATCCCGGCTGCTGACCGATGCAGACACACTCACAAGCTGACTGGCATACATGTGTACACCTGCACACACACATGCAAATACACCCAGGGGGCTGGGCTGTTGGTGCCACAGAAGGTTTGAAGACGGACTTGGGTGCTGGGGTGCCAGAGACTGGTCCATGGTGAGCATTCAGCCCAAGCAGAACCAACCAGAGCTGCCCTCCAGCACTTTCTGTTTGGATGCGGCTGGGAGATAATGGCCACATGGGAACCTGAGGTAGAGCTACTATGATGAGGTCCTGCGCCCTCTCCCATGGGGGCCTGTCTGCAGCAGGAGAGTGTGATGCCAACACAGGTGAAAGAGAGAGAAAGAGGGAGCCAGTGTGCCTATACCCTGGGGCATTGCTTGAGTCCCTGGATCCATTTCTGGCTGAGGCCCCGGCCCCTCTATTGTGTCCAGGTATTTGAGATAAGGCATGTCTTGTCCAGCTGCAGCTGGTTTGAGTTGGGTTTTGTCATTTGCAACCCAAACAGTGTTTCAACTTCAGTGGTCATCTGGCCTGGTCACTAATGGGCTGGGGAAAGGAGGAAGGTTTGTTGGGGCAAGGGCCCATGTGAGAGTCCAAGCTTGGTAAGGCTACAGGGGGCTCAAAACGAGGTGGGGTGCTGTCTGAGGGATGCGAGGGTTGAGCAGGGCCTGGAGGCCCTGATGCAGGAGACAGTGGGTTGGGAGGGTTGCGATCCGGGAAGCAGAGTGCTGGGGAGGTCCGAGTCAGGGTGGCAGGGGTGTGGCAGATTAAGAGGCAGACACAGGTTCCTGGTGTGTAGGAGGTCAGGGGGCCATAAGGAGTGTGTTCCAGAGGGGGTTCTACACCCAGGTCCCAGAGGCTGGGAGAGGGGAGGAGTGGGAGGAGGGGACCGGGAGCCATCAGCGAGAAGGAAGAGCTGGTGGTGCACCTGGAGGAGTGCTCCTGGCTGAGTGGCAGGGGCTGGAGACATCAGGAGGATGCTGGACCCAGTGCTCTGAGAAAACTCCAGCTTTTACCCTTCCAGGCCTCCTGAAAGGGCATCTAGATATCAAATAGGGAGTGAAGGTGGCCAGGCTTGGCTCTTCCAGGCAACAAGTAGGGTAGGAGGGCACCCACCTTGTCAAAGAGGCCACACTCACAGATGAGCTGCTCACGGGCCTTGGTGTTGATAGCGATGGTGTATCTCACGTGTGCCACCAGCAGCTGGGGAGGGGAGAGGAGGAGGCCTCAGAGGGGGCCCAACCAGGTGACCTGGTGCCCTAGGGACCTGCAGCTCCCCCACCCAGGCCTGCCTTACAGGATGATGCTGGGCGCAGGGAGGAAGTGAAGGCTGGGTGCTGATCTTTTGGCTAAGTGCTGGAAGCCTGCACTCCTCTGATGCTTACTAAGCATGATAATGATTCAGATGGTCCTGGCCAGCACTTGTACAATGCTTACCTCTTTGCTCCCTGAGTTCACTGTGTTAATCCTGACCATCATTCTGTAAGGCAGCTGTACTATTTGACCTGTTTTACTGGTGAGGAAACTGAGGCACACAGGAGTACTTTTAGCCTGCAGTCACCCCAACAGCCAGTGCTTGTAAGATTCGGGAACAGGGAAGGAGAGTGATGGCAGGGGCGGCCATCAGCACCAGCCGAGGATCACTGTGAACTCATTTGCCTTTTCCAACTCTACTGGCTGGCCAGCGAGGCGCCTGTGTCAGGCCCACACCCTGGCCTCGTTGTCCTGGGGAACAGCAGGCTCCCAGCTGTTTTCTTCCTTTGGGGACATTACTGACTCTGAGAACATCTCTCCAGGGGTCCCTTTCTGCCACCCACTCCCAGCCACAGGTCCCCCTGTGGGATGTCAGCGATCCCTCCCACTCCACATCTCAGATGCCCTCCCATAGCAGGTGGGGCAGTAGCTGGCTGTACCTTGAAAATGGGGTGCACGGCAGGCAGCTGGCGGTACATCGCAATGCCAAAAACCTCAGACACCAGATGTGTTCGCAGAAGGTGGGTGATGGTCTGGTGGACATGGAAATCACTGGAACGCACCCAGATTTTGGCCAAAAGCCAGTCGTATTTTGCATCCGAAGGGAGGAAAATAGGGTTCTCATCTCCCGGGATTTGGCTGAGCTGATACATCGGGGCAAAGGAAACACACGGCTGTATTTCACTTCAGATTATAGTTGTTGGAGAACTTCGCCTCTTGGGAAGTTCCAGAAGTATCTGAATTTCTTTAACAGTGACTTTGGAATCAGAAGAGCCTGGAGGGGGTAAAGGGCCCTGGGGTGAAGTTTCCTGTCCCAGCCATATTACTTACAACCTGCATGACTCTGGATGACACACTGGGCTTTCTAAGCTCTGGCTTCAGCATCTGTCATGTGGGGACAGTGATCCCTAGGCTCGCAGTTACTGTGGGAATAGCCTCAGGAGCTGGCAGCATGGAAGGAGCGGGCAGGCAGAGGGCCCAGCAGCGGAGGGGATCCCTGCCCCCTTTCCCTCCTTGCCCTGCTCCCTCTTCTACTGCCTCTCATTGATCTCCCATACTTTCCTCCCTCTCCTCTTCCCTGAAATGCTGGTGCTCCCCAGGGTCTGCCCTGGTGCTCCTGTCTTCTTTTCTTGCCCTAAATCAGCTTGTCCTGTCCAAAGGCTTGGGCCTTCCTGGTGCTGAGCCTCCCAGATCAGGGTCTGCAGCTTGAGCTCTGCCTGGAGCCCACACCTGTGCCCAGGCGCCTCCTGTAGCAGAGGCTGGGCCTGTCTTCCCTTTCCAGTTTCCACTCCATACTGGGACAAGGTGAGTTTTTTCCTTTTCCAAAATGCAAATCATGTCACGTTAACTGCCTCCTCAATCACCTCTTAATGCCAGAAAATAAAATCCCCAAGCTCTGTGGTGACCTGGTTTGCTGATGCCTCTGCACACACAGCTTCACCTTCCTGCCCCCACCCCGGCACCCAGCCCCAGGTCCCTCCACGCCAGCAGCCCCAGGCATCGCCACCTTATTGAGAGCCCAGCACAGCCTCAGAACCTGACAATGAGCTCTCACAGGAGCCTGAAGCAGGTGCTGGCATTGCCCATTTTCAGATGAAGACATGAGGTATTGGAGGGACTGACAGAAAGAATGAGGGGGGTGGCAGGGTTGCAGCCAAGAGTGACCAGGAAGGGGCGTGGCCAGACTTTAGGTGCTGGGAAAGCACAGTGGCCATGGCTGGGGAGGGAGAACTGTCCCAGAGCACACAGCTGTGTCACTTGCTGTAAGTATTGTGGAAAGTGGGGTCCTTGGGCGTCTCTCCTTGGAAAACAGTGCTGTCCAATAGACATATAATGCTACCCACACATGGAATTGTATGTATTCAGGAAGCCATATTAATAAAAGTAAAAGGAAAGAGGTGAAATGCAGGTTAATACAATTTTATTTTACCCAATATATCCAGAATATTATCACTTCAACATGAAACCAATCTAAAACTATTAAATGAGATATTTCACATTCCCCACCTCCTTATTCTAAGTCTTAAAAATCAGGTGTGAACTTTGCACTTGCAGCAGGTCTTGGTTTAGATGAGTCAAATCCCAAATGCTCCAGAGCCCTGGTGGTCAGTGACTCTACCCTGGTCAGAGAGACCCCAGCAGCCCCAGAACTCCCTGAGGACCAAGGAAGGGGGAGGGAGGAGGGACAGCAGAGTGTGACTTGCACACTAGGCGTGCCTGTCTGTTTATACATGAGATTAGTTGACTGCTTTTAAATATCAGACAGTTTCACATAAAAATTTGAATGACCTAGTTTTCCTGAAAAATTAGAAGGTCTCAGAACTCTGCACCCATGTTCTCACAGAACTACACTCTTGTCCCTTTTCTACAGTCCCAGCTGTCAGGGTCCCCACTGCCACACCCATTTACATGAGCTGCCTGGGCCACTGATACCTGATCTGTGCCCTAGAGTGCTGGGCTGCCTGGCATGCTCTGAGACACTCTCTGACATGTTCCCACATGCTCTGACATGTTCCTGATGGCTCTGGGACACTGATATGTTCCTGACATCCTCTGGGGCTAAGGAGCCCCCTGTTGTGTGCTAGGGGCTTTACTCATACTATCTCACTTAATCCTCACTTTGACCCTGTAAGGCAGGTATTCCTTGCTGTACCCATTTTACATGGGGGGAAATTGAGGCTCCAGCTGGTTAAGCAGCTCTCCCAAGTCACACAGTAGGTAAAGAGCTGAGCCAGCAACATGATATTTAACAGGCAAAAATTGAAAGCATTCCCCCTAAAAACTGGAACAATGCAAGAATGTCCACTCTCACCCCTCCTATTAATAGAGTACTGGAAGTCCTATTCAGAGCGATTAGGCAAGAGAAAGAAATAAAAGGCATCCAAACAAACAAACAAAAAAAAGTCAAATTATCTTTGTTCATTCATGATGTGATTCTACACCTAGAAAACCCTGAAGATTCCTCCAAAAGACTCCTAGATTTGATAAACAACTTCAGTAAAGTCTCAGTGTTATAAGTAAAATGCTTATGAGAAACAGAATGCTTGTTCCTTGGTACTGCAAGGAAAAATCAGCATTTAGACAAAAAGTTTTTTTTAGCAAGGCAATTTTACTTTCTGCAGAAAGGGTGCTCCTCGCAGATGGAACAACGGTGAGAGCACACCTGAATAATGGAGAGAAGCAATTTTTATTCCTTACGCAGCTTGTCCCTGCTATTGTGTCCTGTCTCCACTGGCTGGAGCCAGACCTCACAATCTAAACTAAAACCCGACTGGCTAATAACTTAAAACTTTTCTAAACAGGTAAAAAGCAATGGAAAGACAAAGGAAAAGAGGAAGTTGCTTATGAAAGGACTTAGAAAAGTAGTGACATTCCCAAATAAGAAAGGGGCATAGGCTGCAAACTGGGACATGCCTGTGAGCACGTCCAGCGCAAATATCTTGGTTAAAGTACAAAGACATAGAATGTACTCATTCCCTTATATCTCACAGCTATATATGATAGGGCTTAATAAAAAGTTATTAGCACAAAGCAAAAAGGCTTTAAAAAAGTTAGTCTTTGGAAAAAACTATTATTTCTTACATTTATGATTTATTCTTTAACAAAAAATACCTTTAAAAAACCTTTGACTTTCTACACTTAAGATACAAAATCAATGTACAAAAATCAGTAGCGTTTCTTTTTATTTGAGACAGAGTCTCATTCTATCACCCAGGCTGGAGTGCAGTGGTGCGATCTCAGCTCTCTGCAACCTCCACCTCCCAGGTTCAAGCAATTCTCCTGCCTCAGCCTCCTGGGTAGCTGGGATTACAGGCATGTGCTACCACACCTGGCTAATTTTTGTATTTTCAGTAGAGATGGGGTTTCACCGTGTTGGCCAGGCTGGTCTCGAACTCATGACCTCAGGTGATCTGCCCACCTCGGCATCCCAAAGTACTGGGATTACAGGCATGAGCCACCGTGCCTGGCCTAAAAATCAGTAGCATTTCTATGCACCAACAATGTTCAGGCTGAGAACCATATCAGCAATGTGATCTCAGTTACAATAGTCTCCTACACACAAAATAAAATACCAAAGAATACATCCAACCAAGAAGGTGAAAAAGTTCTACAAACAGAACTATAAAACACTGATGAAAGAAATCATAGATGACACAAAAAAATGGAAAAATATCCCATGCTAATGGGTTGGAGGAACCAATATCATTAAAATGGCCATACTGCCCAAAGCAATCTACAGATAGAATGCAATTCCTATCAAATTATCAACATCATTTTTCACAGAATAAGAAAAAAAATCCTAAAATTCACACAGAACCAAAAAATAGCCTGAATAGCCAAAGCAATCCTAGACAAAAAAAACAAAGCTAGAGGCATCACATTACCTGACTTCAAACTATACTATAAGACTATAATAACCAAAACAGCATGGTATACTGTGTGCCAAAAATAGGCACACAGATCAATGGAACAGAACAGAGAACCCAGAAATAAAGCCATGTACCTGCAACCAACTGATTTTTGACAAAATCAACAAAAATAAACAATAAGGAAAGGACATCCTATTCAATAAATGGTGTTGGAAAAACTGGCTACCTATATGCAAAAGAATGACACTGGGCCCTTTCCTCCCACCACATACAAAATTTACCTCTTGATGGATTACAGACTTAAATGTAAGACTTCAAACTTTAAAAATTCTAGAAGAAAACCTAGGAAAAAATCTTATGGACATTTCCTAGGCAAAGAATTTATGATTAGACCTCAAAGGCATATGCAACAAAAACACAAATTGACAAATGAGACTTAATCAAATTAAAGAGCTTCTGCACAGAAAAACAAACTATCAACAGAGTAAACAGACAACCTACAGAATGGGAGAAAATATTTGCAAACTATGCATCTACAAATGACTAATACCCAGAATCTATAAGGGAGCTTAAGAAAAAACACCACCATTAAAAAGTGGGCAAAGGACAGGAACAGACATTTCTCAAAAGAAGACATACAAGTGGCCAACACACACATGAAAAAATGCTCAACATCACTAATCATCAGAGAAATGCAAATTAAAACCACAAAGAGATACCAGTCAGAATGGCTATTATTAAAATGTAAAAAAAGGATAGATGTTAGCAGGATATAGATAAAAGGGAATGCTTACACATTGTAGGTGGCAGTGTAAATTACTTGCATCCCTGTGGAAAGCAGTTTGGAGATCTTGCAAAGAACTGCAAATAGAATTACCATTCGACCCAGCAACCCCATTACTGTGTACCTACCCAAAGGAAAAGAAATTGTTTTACCAAAAGGACACATGCACACGTATGTTTACTGCAGCACTGTTCACAACATCAAAATCATGTAATCAACCTAGGTGCGCATCGATAGTGGCACCAGATAAAGAAAATGTGGTATGTGTACTCCATGGAATACAACATAGCCATAAAAAAGAATGAAATCATGTCCTTTGCAGCAACATGGGTGCAGTTTAGGATTGGCACTTAGGCCATAATCCTAAGTGAATTAACCCAGAAACAGAAAATCGAATACTGTATGTTCTTATTTATAAGTGGGAGCTAAGCATTGCCTACACATGGACATAAAAGTGGGAACAGAAGACACTGGGGACTCCAAGAAGGGG